CACCAGCAGAACCAAGAGCAGAACCACCAGCAGAACCACCAGCAGAACCAAGAGCAGAACCACCAGCAGAACCACCAGCAGAACCACCAGCAGAACCAAGAGCAGAACCACCAGCAGAACCAAGAGCAGAACCACCAGCAGAACCACCAGCAGAACCAAGAGCAGAACCACCAGCAGAACCACCAGCAGAACCACCGGCAGAACCAAGAGCAGAACCACCGGCAGAACCAAGAGCAGAACCACCAGCAGAACCACCAGCAGAACCAAGAGCAGAACCACCATCAGAACCAAGAGCAGAACCACCAGCAGAACCAAGAGCAGAACCACCAGCAGAACCTCAGGGTCATTCTCTGTTCCAACTGGAACATTAACGAGCCAAACATCCATATTTTCTAAATAAAGACAAACTCTACTTTCCTGCAGCCTTTGCTAACAAACAGACGCATCTATTTAAACATCCGTAATTTCTAGATAAAAGATAAAGTGGATAAAACTCAGTTTGGAGTTCTGGAGCATAAATCAATCATCATTATCATTACTTACCTACTTTTGACAATAAAAATTCTACATAAAATTATATTAACAAGCACTAATATCTAAATAAATTGATTATTTGCTAAGTTTTTATCAAAACTGTTATCTTTGATTTCCCTGCAGACTCCTAGATGACCTGCAGAGACGCATCATTTTCTCTTTAGCTCATAAAACACAAAAAGAAAAGAGCAGGAATTCTGTATCCACCATCTTTGATGTTAGAATATCGATGTTTTTAATTAACCACAAAAAATATCATGTTTAGAATATTGAGAGAATTACTGCTGCACCGTCTGCATTAGAGAGGAAAAATGGTAGGGGGGGCCACAGGGGGGGGGGCGATGATTGGCTAAGGGTGGCCATGGCCCCCCCTGGCCCCCCATCTAGCTCCACCCCTGCAGTTAACTGAGTTCTGTATAAAGTTCACTATAAAGTGCCCGCTCTATCGTGATGGAGAGATTTAGGGGTTAGAGCGGACGGTCGGACACAGGAAGCTGGTATGAGAACAGCAACTTTTAAAAGAGCGTGCACGAGGAGATATGGGCTCGTGCACGGGGAGAAATGGGCTCGTGCACGGGGAGAAATGGGCTCGTGCACGGGGAGAAATGGGCTCATGCACGAGGAGATATGGGCTCATGCACGAGGAGAAATGGGCTCATGCACGAGGAGATATGGGCTCATGCACGGGGAGATATGGGCGCGTGCACGGGGAGAAATGGGCTCGTGCACGAGGAGAAATGGGCTCGTGCACGAGGAGAAATGGGCTCATGCACGAGGAGATATGGGCTCATGCACGAGGAGAAATGGGCTCATGCACGAGGAGATATGGGCTCGTGCACGGGGAGAAATGGGCTCGTGCACGGGGAGATATGGGCTCGTGCACGAGGAGAAATGGGCTCGTGCACGGGGAGAAATGGGCTCGTGCACGGGGAGAAATGGGCTCGTGCACGGGGAGAAATGGGCTCGTGCACGGGGAGAAATGGGCTCGTGCACGCCCTCACACGCGTTTAATAGGGATTCCCTGTAGGAGCAGGTACAGGGTTGTGCATGTACATTTTTTTTAAAGTGAAAATTTGTGAAAATCCTCCGCTCTACGTCTAAAGGGCGTCTCTTTGCTGAACGTCTGACAGGTGAAGCTGGAAAGGAGCTCCAGCTAAACGTACCTGTGCTGTGAAGAGTTAACGACTGAAGGCAGAAAAACGTGGGCAGGTAGAAACTCAGGACCCTGAGAGAATCCCATCCGCAGCTTCTGATCTCCAGACGGGTGATGCGTCCAAACGGACACGCTCCGGCTGAGGCGGCGTCACATGGACTGAAGGTCCGGCAGAGAAGCTGAGGGCTGACATCAAAGCTGGGCGCTGGAGCTTGGTCCTCCTCCATCTTGGCTCGCTTGCATGAAGAGACGGGATCCCTCTGAGCGTCTGAATCTGTGGGTTCAGCACCTGGACCCTCGTGGATCCGGTCTGCCTTGGCAGAACCACCGCAGCACATGCGTTGGTCCAGCTCCGGGTCCTGGTACCGGGATCCGCGTCCCTGCAGGAGCCAGGCCAACCCCAGCGGACAGTGGACGCTCAGCATCAGGTGGGTAGAGAGGCCGTGGTCCAGCAGGCGGTGGAGGACGTACAGCGCTGCCTGGGTTCTCCTGTCCGTCAGACACAGGCTGCTGACATGGACGCTCCTGATGTTCTTCTCCAACAGCGCCAGCAGGTGCTGCCCATCAGAGGTCAGCGTCTGAAGGGCCTCATGGATGGGGGGCATCAGGATGAAATGGCGAACGCTTCTGGCTGCCGCTCTAAGGAAAGAGCTGGACTTTAAATGCGCGCTGTTCCTTAAAACGTAGCCGTTGGTCAGTCCGTAGAGAACGGCGGTGAAGAGCCGCAGCATCACCTCGTGTTTGGCGTCCTCCTCCGTCCTGAAGTCTAACGCCTGAAACGTATCAAAGGTCAACATTAACTCCAGATCCACCACTTCCAGAGCGCAATAAGGCGGGACACGTACCCGGCTGGAGCCCACCAGCTGCTGAAGGACTTCCAACCATCTGGGAAACGTGGAAAACCCTAAAAGGGAAACAACAGCTGTGAGGATGGGTGGGAACAGCTGCCATGGGAACAGATGCCATGGGAACAGATGCCATGGGAACAGATGCCATGGCAACGCCTGACCAATGACGAGGACAGACTACGCCTGATGATTGGACACCAAACGTTATAAGGTGATTCTATGGCTGAGGGGCGTGATTCTACGCACCGTTAGTGGCAGAGTGACATCATCCATCCAATCATCCATCCATTCATCCATCATCATCCATCATCATCCATCCATCATCCATCCATCCATCCATCCATCATCATCATCCATCCATCCATCCAATCATCCATCCATCCATCCATCCAATCATCCATCCATCCATCCAT